AACACGTACACTTTGACAAGAAGCTTCCTCTAGCTCCTCCTAACCTCATTTCGTGAGAAATGGCCGGGCAGATGGGCAGGCGACCTGCTTTGAAAGAGCAATCGATAAACCCTTACTAGGCAGGCTGGCAAGGCCCACCTGCCGCCGATGAAACCAACATACTGCGACAGCTAAAGAACCAAAATACAATTCATCTTATGCGGTTGTTCAGAAATAAAGTCATATCACTAATAGAATATTAAACATTTTACCTGAATGCCCAAATTGGCGACTTCTAGTTGCTGGCACAGCAAACCACCCTGTGTCAATATCCGCCATATGTAATTTCTTGTACTACACTACTGCCTTCTGCGGGGAAAATCTGGCAATGTGTATCTACCCCAAACAAACCATAACCGCCTAACTCAAACGAAACTCACAGATGATGTACTGTAAAACCTGTACGCTGCCGCACTGCTCTGAGTTCGAGTTTCATTTCTTCATAATGGACTTCGTCCGATTTTTACAAGCGAACCATATTTCTTCCACCTCATTTCCACAGCAGTAACTAATGACTGTGTCCTTGGATGCGATTTGTACTCACGCTACGTCCACGTGCATTGCTTTTTCTACAACTTTACATCTCTACAAAGCGATTACACTTAAAAACGATATTCCACCTGCAGTTAAAATCTCAGCCACATGTCATAAGTACCAATCTTCTCAACTCGTCAACCATGACATCCAGTAAAGACGCAGGATCTAGCAGAGATTACCAGCCGCAGTATTTCAGCACTACAACCGCTGCTCCGAATACTTCGATATCAGAGAACGTAACAGAAGGATGGGAAATTTACATAATAAGGAGTTTCATCAAGTTCTTTTCTGCATCAAATGGCATTAAGTGAAGGGAGACAAGACCGGAGGACGATGCGAGAAATGAGAAATTCATACTAACCTGTATAAGGAAGCCCCGAAGACAGAGCTTTGCATAAATGGTGAGACAATATTAAAATGGAGTTTAAATAAATAAATAAAGTGTGAGGCTGTGGACTGGATAAAACTGGTTAAGTGATGGAATCTTGTCAACTAGCTGATTTAATTTCGTTTCCCGTAAAAGGCGAGGATTCTTTTGGCCATATGAGAGCCTACAAGCTTCTCAGTAATGCCTACTCAACATCGTATGTTTTCCACACAAGTTAGTTGGATCACATTAAAGCAACAGTAAACGCTGCCTCAGACGGTAAGGCTCCTGGAGTTACGGGATGTACTTTCGAATTTCGGCCAGGGCACTGACCCTCCTGAGGTTTCTCGTGGTTTATCTCAGTCCCTTAAAGCGAATACTAAGACACAGGCCACGACCGCTTCCTGACACGACATTCCAATTCATCCTCCCTACATATCTATCTATGGCTCTACAGGTCTTTGTTGGACCTTGGCTGCTTTTCAGTTTCTTAATACTATACGCAGCCGGTAGGACTCCTTTGACGGGGAATCACCCCGTCGCGAAGGCTTCTACCTATACACAGAAAAACACGAACACGGAATAAACACACACAGACATCCACGAATCGAGTGGGATTCGAACCCACGACCACAGTGTTCGCGCGGACGAAGAATGCTCATATCTCACGACAGCGCGGCCACTGCGATCGGCAACCATTCTACCATTCAAAGTTATACGTGGTAGAGTCACTGAGTTCGTGGAATGTGGTTTTATTGCATCATATTACAAGGGATTCACATACACTTACACAGACCCACATCGGCCCTCAAAATAGTTGCCGTTGGGCGCTATGCAAGTCTGCCAACGTTGATATAGCTGCCGAAAACACCGCTGAAACATACTGGCAGTAAATTCCCGTACGACGCCTTGCGGCCATTCCACGAACTTACTGACTGTGGTAGTATAGGCTTAGTCTATGTTACAGACAGCGCTATTAAATAAACCATTAGTACATGAATAATTCTAGGGCCACTCAATAGAATGATTAACTGAAGTGCAAGAATAAACACATAACTACAAAATACGCATAAAGGTGGAATCTCACACATGACTAACGGGTGGCGAGAGCGGCCTCCGTAGTCTAGGGGTAACGTTCCCACCTCATGACTCAAGGTACGCGGGTTCAAAAACCCGGCGGAGGTCGTGGAATTTTTAAGGGCGGAAAAATTCAGGGAACAAGTCCTGCGGGAGGGACTTTAAGCCGTGTGTCCCGTGTCGTAGATTTACGGCACGTAAAAGAACCTCATGTCTCTAAGAGACCGCTGAGCTAAATTAGGCCAAACATTTCCCGCCCAAAGTAGTTTCCAATGCCTCCGGTAGATGGGGAAGTATTAGGTACCACTGCCAGAGGAGGGACGACCTCTCTGACAGAAAGGGACTAAAGTATTAGATACCACTGCCAAGTAGATGGTAGAAACCTTGCTGGCAGAAAGGGGCTAATAGCGAGCACCAGTACCAGTAGGGGATGGAGACTGTAGAAATTATAAGGGGGACATACAATAGACTATCAGTCGCGGTACATGGGGAAACCCACCCCCTCAATACTGAATCACTCAACGGGTGGCGAGACAACATGCCACATTTAGAGCTTATTAAAATGCAGATTCTGAAATTTGGGAGCAATTTCGCTCTGATTCCAGGCATATGACAAGTATTTAAGTTATTTAGAAAGGCAAGTAAAGTTGTCCCTGTGCTTAACTAATTAAACACTACGCCATGAAGGCGTATGGGGGAGTGGATGTATAGACCTCGGCACTAGTTGGAAGCGAGTAGTGACCTTCATGACACAGTCGCTTTATCCCCGGGGAAGAGCCCCTGCTACACACTGTATAGGAGGTTTGACCCCAGAATCGATCTGGAAGACGTCAAGAAAATCTTTTACCCTACTGGGACTCGAACTCCTATCCTTTGGGCGTCCAGCCCGTAACCAGTCGTTATACCGACTACGCTATCCCTGCTCCTTTAGAAAATCAAGTGCAAGTGGACACGGAAATTTAACACGTCAAATGGAGTGAACGTACTTTAAAACTTAACAGAAAATTAAAGTGAACATATTGTACCGCCAAGAGCTACGTTGTTTTAACTTCTGGGCAACATGTGTGTCTAGAAGAAACAATCCTGATAAATTTCACGAATTTGTTTTGAAATATTTTACTGTTTCTTATGTACTCTGAGTAGATAAAATCAAACAGCATCTCTGTGGGTCAATTTCAAACAACTTGGTCTTTTTTTTTTGCATATAAGAACAAAACAAGCTCGCGATAGTGCGCCATCATGTCTAAAACAACCAGACTCCTGGAAATGTCAAGAGAATTCGGTACGCTATGGTATATTTTGGCAGCAGTGTTACTACTGGGAGAAAATCAAAATTCCAACAACGCCTTATATAGTCTCTATATCATTATATCAGACGTGGACAGAATTTAGCAAAAGAATTTGATTTTCTCGTATCACATTCTTTTTTCTAGTGTTCGCAAGAGATGGAAGACAGGGATCCCTAAGGTGTATCCATCTTCATGATTTTGATTAAATTCAGTACACTGTATTCACACTGAAAACTAAAAAAATTCGCGGCGCATCGCTGTATGGGTTATAACGTCCCACCTCAATTCGCCAAGTTATTAAGGATTCTCCTGATCGCCTCTGTGGTCTAGTGGTCAGTGCTCCTGGCTGCAGATGCAGAGGTCCAGGTTCGATTCCCGGCGCTACCAGATTTATTTATGAGAAGTAGTGGGTCTGGAACTGGGTGCACTCAGCCTCGTAATGATAACTGACGAGCTATTTCAAGGAAATAGCGGCTCCGGTCTAGAAAACCGAAATTAACGGCCGTGGGGATTCGTTGCGCTGACCACGCGACACCCTCTATCCGCAAAAGTTGGCACTGAACTTCGCCGACAAGCGGCCGTCGCTCGGTCAGTATAGTTCGCTTGCTGACTAAAATCACGGAGTCTGTTTGTTTGTTTGTTTGTTTGTTTGTTTGTTTTATTAAGGATTCTCAACAATTTTGCAGAATTTCTCGGAATCTATATATTTGATACAAAGGAATTTGGAAACTATGTTCATTCCTCTAACTGCCTATGCAGCGAAATCCTACATCTCAAATCTTCAGGAAAGAAAATAGTCCAAACGACCCAAAAGTTTACACATTGTAAAAACAGTATTCTTTGTAGAGGCATATAACATAATTTATCTTTCTGGTTCAACCAAATATTCGAAAAAGAATCTTAGGAATCAAGCTAACAGAATGCAGAGTATACCTCAAGTTGGCCGCGCCATAGCTCAAGCGGTTAGTCGCTGGCTTCCCACCGCGGCGGCCCGGGTTCGATCCCGGGTCTGGTCAAGTGGGATTTATGGTGCACAAAGTGGCGCTGGGGTGAATTTTCTCCGAGTTCTTCGGTTTCCCCTGCCAATCATCATTCCACCAAATTCTCCATCATAATAATCACCCGGGGCAGGCTACAATAGGCCAATTAGTGGTCGCCGTGCCGAGTGGACCCAGCTGGACCCCACCCCCCACTATGCGAATTTTTAATACCTCAAGTTTGGCCGTGCCATAGCCCAAGCGGTTAGTCGCCGGCTTCCCACCGCGGCGGCCCAGGTTCGAGCACAGGTGGGATTTATGGTGGACAAAATGGAACAGAGGCCGGTGTTCTCCGAATACTTCGGTTTTCCCTGCCAATTCTCCTCCCACCGACTGCTCTACATTCATCAGCACCATCTATCAACCGGGGCTGGTATAATAGGCCAATTAGTGGCCGAAGTAGCAAGTGAACTCAGTCTCACCCCACCCCAAGAAAGTAAGAAAAAACTCAAGTTTCAAAGCTGCTGGTCTGGAGTTTACTGCAAGACATAACAAGATCCCATCTTCGAAGCAAAACCTCTAAAGCAGTTATTATCGAACCTGGAATTACGGACCAGCCAAATGCCTCAAGGATATAAGCAACGGCTCTTCAAAGTGACACTATTCTGCCACACGTCCATTCAAGTTGGGGAAAGCAGCAGTTATGAAACTTACCCCTGCCAACACTCTCGAAACGACCCTCTACTTTGCTGCGGAGAGAGTCTAGGTCGAAAGGCGGGCTGAAGCCATGGTCCACACTCCTGCTCTTGCTCCTGTAATAAAAAAGTCATGTGTGTCATTCCTGCAGAAAAGAGAGCACAACACAAAACGTCTTCTTTTTTTTTTTGCTATCACAGTTAGGAAACTGCACGAATTTCCACTGGGGTTAACATATATATAATTTCAGCTGTACTAGAAAGGAAAGACAAGCGATTCCCTTAATTTCAAGACGAAATGGAGGCAAATATTTCCTTTTAAACGGTAAAACCGCTGCTGTACGGGCTGAGCGAAAAATAATGTAACAATCAATCAATGGTAAATTTTCCTCAGGCGCTTTAGGTTTATTTGCAATGTGTTAAAAACACTTCATCCAAAGGCAAATTTGTCACTGTACAAGCGGGAAGATCGTGGGTTAGTTTCCCGATGAGGTAATTGGATTTTTCAATTGACCTAATCCTTCCAGCCTCATTATGGCCCTGGGATCGACTCAGGCTCTAACAGAAATGACTACCAGGAATCTTCCGTGGGGGGTAAATGGCGGCCGGCGCGTAAGACTGACAACCTCATGGCCATCTGTGAGCCATCTGTCTAGAAAATGTGGAAGTCTCGACGTCTCATAACCCCATGGCCCTCCAAGGCCTCTTACCTTTTACTTCATTCAGCAGCACGGTGCCACGAAGACGGATGGGGTGAGGAGGTATAGATCCACGTATTATTAACCTTGGCAACAGATGGTGTTGAGTGGTCAGCTTCACACCTCGGCCGCTTTACCCACAGCAAGTAACCGAAGTACAAGTAAATTAGCATAATAAAGAAATTCATAACTTGTATTCTTCCCAACTGCCGGTCACGGTAGCCGAGCAGTCTAAGGCATGCACTGTCTTCGCTCGCTCGGAAGCCGGGATAGTGGGTTCGAATCCCACACAATGCATGGATGTTTGGAGTGTGTGTGTGTGTGTGTGTGTATGAGCGTTTTTCTGTGTTTGTGTACAGGCAGAGGCGTTGCGACGAGCTGATCACTTCCAAGGAATCCCACCGAATGTCTAAGATCTAGTAAACCGAAGTGAAACGGAGAGTTTCATGGAGATAGGCCTAGGCCCAAAGTGGGGCTGTAGCGCCAAAAGAAAAAAATTCTTCCCCAATTATTATGAAGATCAACTCAAGACGGATAAGATGGATGGGACAGGTAGCACGCATGCGGAAACTGAAAACCATTTCGAAGAACTAAGCGTAGATTGGAGGACACTACTACTAAGACAGATCTTACAGAAATATGGTACGAGGGACTCGCATTGAATTTGCTCAAAATAGGTCCAGTGATGAACTCCCGTGTATACAGCATGCATCTTTGGTTCTTTAAACGTGAGAAAACTTCTTGACTGGCTAAGACATTATCAGCATCTCAAGAGCGACTTTGCTGGACTTGATAAGCATTGACAAAGTATTAGTGATAATATCGTGGACAATGAATGAATAATAAACGTGCTGATGAAAGGAATAAGAAGGTAAACGAGAATTACACCATCTCGGATGATTGATCACCACAGAGTTCAGATGTATAACCCCGTGTGTAGGGGTTTCCGCCATGGGTTTTCGGGTATAACATTCGCTACATGTATATCAGCCTAAGGAAATGCGTCCCACTGAAGAGATGAAGACGCCTCATCCGTGAGCAAGAAAAGGAAATGGAAGGAAGAGAGGATGAAGGAATCGATCAATCTCGAAATAGGAATCCTGTGGTGTGCTTGTACTTGTCAGCGATATGTCAGACTTGTCATTTCTGTACTGCGAGAGGCAATATTTATAATCCATATATATAATAGCCGAAAATCCGTCCGTTCTGCCCTATTTCTCCCAAACGCCGTTACGGAGGAAAAACAGCAAACACCAAACAGAGAGAAGGGGAGGGGGAAGAAAGGTTTGTCGCGGAGAGACACCTCCGGAAAGGTGCTTCATTTTGTCGTTAAAGGCATTGCTTCGAGTCCAATTTCTTTCTCCACGACCATGACGACGACAAAGTTATTTTCACAGTAACTATGGTAACGAAACGTGTTCTGAAGGTCACATGAACGGCATGCGAGTCAAGAACCTAGAAATGTTAGACGTACGTAATCGCCACTAACAAACACTGAAGGGCTTGGTGCAAGAACTCTCCAAATGTCAAATTTTAGAAAAAATGTTTTACGAGTATGCTGAGACAAATTCGCTGCATAGCTTATTTTTTTTAATGCTAATGGAGTGGGACTAAGTCCCTTGAACTGCGGCCACTTCTGGCGTATTGTACCAACCCCAGATGATAGGTGAGGGTGATTGTGGAGCAATTTGTGGAATGAAGATTGGCAGGGGAAACCGAAGTACTCGGAGAAAACGTGCCCCAGCGCCACTTTGTCCACCACAAATCCCACTTGACCNATATATATATCAAGTAAGATTCTCCATGTGCTTAACTAATTAAGCACTACGTCATGAAGGCGTACGGGGGAGTGGATGTACAGATCCAAAATATCCCGCAGGGATATGAACTCAGTAGCGGAGGAATCGAACTGAGTACAGTCTTCGGAATTGACAGCTGCAGAATAATGGGAAGAAAATGAGTCAGGCTGTGCAAAGAAGCCTCCATGTGTGATCTGAAGTTACAGTGAGACTGGTATAACTACTGTGAAAATCCGTTGCCAGGACACGACTAGTGAAGACTGAGAACACTAGTGCGTGTGCAACGGTGAACTGTGAAGTGCGTAGAACAACGATAGCCCTCTATTGCCTCTAGTCCCGAGTACTGTGTGAAAGAAAACGGTGTCAATAAATGCAATCATCCAATCCAAAACCCCTACATGCGACAATATGTACTAATGGACCTGCCTCTCTAGCTGCTGGAAGACGTAAAGCAGTTACAGCTTGTTCCGAGCCCGGGTTGCAGTCGAATGTCCATGGGTTCCGGTCGTTGTTTACGTACAATATACACGTACACCTATAAATCTTTTCAACAAATAACTGTACTAAAAACAGGTATTTCTCTGCTAGAAATCCAGTAATCGGAATGATTCGATAATCCGGTCACAATAATATTTTGATGACTTCTGATTATAGAGATTATGCTGATCACAGTGCCCGCGCGGTTTTGGCTCTCTCGAACACTGAAATCGTGGATTCGAATCCCGCTCAAGACATGAACGTCTGTGTTCGTTTATTTTGTGTTTGTGTTGATATCTGTGTGTAGGTACCGGCCTTGCAAACGGCTGATCCCCGTCCAAGGAGACCTACAAACTGTGTACAGGATCAAGTAATTGAAAAAGCGGCCAAGATTCAACAAAGCGGTTAGTCGCTGGCTTCCCATTGCGGCGGCCCGGGTTTGATCCCGTGTCTGGTCAAGTGGGATTTGTGGTGGACAAAGAGGCGCTGGGGTAGGTTTTCTCCGAGTACTTCGGTTTCCCTTGCTAATCTTCATTCCACCAATTGCTCCACAATCACCCTCACCTATCATCTGGGGCTGGTACAATAGGCCAGAAGTGGCCGCAGTACAAGGGACTTAGTCCCACCCCACTAGCAATACAAAGAAAGGGTTCAACAAAAGGACTGTAGAGCTATAAACAGATTACAGTGTATAGCTTATTCGTTCTAATCATTGCATTTTTGCTGCAGATCACATCAAATATATGATCGACAAGATTCTATTAATCCAAGCGACATCTCGGTTGTGTCAGGTGTTAAGCATGTTGAGAGAGTAAAGGGGTAAAGATGTTACCTGTGAAGGAGAACATACTTGCTCAGAGTTTCTTTCGTTTGCATCAATGTACGTATAGATTCAATGTTCAACTGCTGATCCTTTTCGCTTCACGAAGTCCAAAGTGCAAGAGTACCACCGAAGTTTCCTGAAGTTGTAGCTAACACGGACCCTCCTTCTCCCCCCCCCCTCAAAGCCACATTTCCGAGATTAAATTCCGTAATCGTACAAACCCCGTAGAGATACTTCCCAGTTAGCCTTCCTCTGGCACTATAAAGTGGACAAAAGGAGGCGGTAGTTACGCGAAGGTTCTGGAAAATGTGACGCCTGTTACTCAACAGAGAAAACATCTGACATCATGTAGCGTGGCTTAATATATTCATTTAGTTTTCAGCTAAAACATTTATTTTTAATAATTTATTTCGCTATACTGTTTGCGCTGACAATTACAGTTCGGAAATCCAGTGCGGTACATTTACTGTTTGTAATGCATAGTAAAAATTCGTTTAGTGGGAGTGGAGTCCAACTGGGTCCACTCGGCACGGCGGCCACTGATTGGCCTATTGTAGCCTGGTGATTATTATGATGGAGAATTTGGTGGAATGAAGATTGGCAGGGGAAACCGAAGTACTGGGAGAAAAACCGGACCAGCGCCACTTTGTCCACCACAAATTCCACTTGACCAGACCCGGAATCGAACCCGGGTCGCCGCGGTGGGAAGTCAGCGACTAACCGCTTGAGCTAAGCGGCCTCCGTAGTCTAGGGGTAACGTTCCCACCTCATGACTCAAGGTACGCGGGTTCAAACCCGGCGGAGGTCGTGGAATTTTTAAGGGCGGAAAAATTCAGGGAACAAGTCCTCCGGGAGGGACTTTAAGCCGTGGGTCCCGTTTCGTAGATTTACGGCACGGAAAAGATCCTCATGTCTCTAGGAGACCTCTGAGCAAAATCAGGCAACAATTTCCCGCCCTAGTAGTTTCCAATGTCTCTGGTAGATGGGGGAAATATCAGGTACCGACGGCCGACCTCGTTGGCTGAACGGGGCTTATAGCACGCACCAGTACCGGTAGGGTATGGAGACAGTAGAAATAAAAGGGGGATGCACAATGGACCAATAACTGTCTAAGTGCATGGGGAAACCCACCCCTTCCAATAACGATGATGATGATAATAATAATAATAATAATAATAATAATAATAATAATAATAATAATAATAAACCGCTTGAGCTATATCCCTCTGTCCCTTTCTTTCTCAAACATTTAGGTGACGTCACCGACATACCTAACCAGGAGCCGTAGTGGCTATTACGAGACAGCATGTAGTCCGGGAA